GCTATAGATCCCGGTCTGTCCTGATATTTACCCATAGATGGGGCGAGGAGAAAAAGAGGATTCATTTCTTTCCGAAGGGTATTAGCATATAAGTGAACGTAATGGTTTCGACTGGAATTTGAACTCGGCTCTCCGATTCCTCAATCCGAGCCGCTATCCATTACTCCACCGCTGTGCTAGCACGAAGTCACAACCCATCGTGACCGGGGGTTTGAGCGTGTTGGCATTGTTTTAAACTACAGATCAAGACAGTCTATGCCCTTTCTCCCCAAAACTGTAACTAAAGTCCGCTTGGAATGGGTGTAGTATGAACAGGTGGGCTCTGTGGTGTTATCAGAAACACAAATTTACCATAGTAAGTATCTGCAACAAGTAATGGCTAGCTGATATAGTAGGCGAGTTTGTTCGAAAACGAGGAGCTAGCGATTATGTGTATATGTAAGTTTTGTTAAGTTCAACCGACAATGTCTCACTGATATATATATATATATATATATATATATATATATATATATATAGATAGATAGATAGACAGCGAGAAAGAGAGAGAGAGAGAGAGAGAGAGAAAGAGAGAGAGAGAGAAAATATTTAGAAAACCAATCTTTCTTTCACCATGGTTTCTTCTAATTAAATGTCTTCAGGCAGTAAAATTCAGTATTTTCCTGTTGATGATACCTGATTTGTAGCAGGAAGGTTGGTTTTCTAAATATTTTATGTCTTAATTTCATACTTCCTGCATATTTTTTCTGTTGTAAGACAAATGGTGAATAAACCTGTTATATTGTACATCTCTTGTTCTATTCTCCTTTCCTACAGACTCCTTTTCGTTATATGTCGACTTATCTCGCGATTTCAACAGGTTATGTGCCCAGAACATAAATAAACCTGTTCCATTATCCTTTCCTACAGACTCCTTTTAGTTATATGTCGACTTACCTAGAGATTTCAACAGGTTATGTGCCTAGAACATAAATAAATCTGTTACGTTGTGCCCAGAACATAAATAAACCTGTTACGTTGTACTTCTCTTGTTCCATTTTCCTTTTCTACAAACTCCTTTTCGTTATATGTCGACTTATCCCGCGATTTCAACAGGTTATGTGCCCAGAACATAAATAAACCTGTTACGTTGTACATCTCTTGTTCCATTCTCCTTTCCTATAGACTCCTTTTCGTTATAATATGTCGACTTACCACTGTAATCCAACAGGTTATGTGCCCAGAACACGAAACTTATTACTCGACGAAAATGAAAAGCACTACGAACTGTGAGAAGTAAAATTATTGGGTACCTCCACACGTTGAAATTAAAAAATGAACTCAAGAAAGAGGGCATTGACCAGGAAAGGAATGAAGACATTTTTGCCGAGTTGATTGAAGTACTGGACGACAGAAGTTTAGCGCTAGTGATGAGAGATACAAAAGACAACTTAGAAGCGATACCAATTTTAAGAGGACATTATATGGGCCAAGGAAAACTTAAAGTAATTGCGTTATATACGGAATTATCGACCCTAACGAAAGTGCAAGAAGAGGATTTAACAGACTATGTACTTTGCGCTGAAGAAGCAGCAGCAGCAGCCTTAAGAAATTCCGGCAAAGTAATTTCAGATTCACTGTTGATAGCGATTCTACTTAAAGAACGTCCAGCATATTTCAATGCATTTAAAACAATAATAATGCAGAACAACCAACCAACTGTACAGGAATTTAAAACTTTGATGGTTTTTCATTAATTTAACCTTTTTTATAAATATTGTTTTTTGTGAAAAGACTTATTTTTTTAAAGTATATAAACATATATATATATAATATATATATATATATATATATATATATATATATATATATATATATGGGGGAATATATAAAAATAGGAAAGAACTCGTTATGTAAATAATCCAATGTTCTTTAGTATTTTTGTTATTATCTTTAAAAAATAGTGCTCGATACAAAAGTAGAGCATAAATATAATTATTTATTTAAAAATATGATTCCAAAATCATATTTTTAAATAAATAATTATATATATATATATATATAAAATAAATATAGTCTTAAGGTGTGCTATATTTATGGGATAAAGTGCTCAATATCAGAGATAGAGCGTGTGTAAATATAAAAGTGAACATAGAAGTCAACACTTAGAGGCGACAGTCTGTTTCATGCTATATGCAATCGTCAGGCCACATATTGCATTATTTTGAAACAGACTGTTATATATATATATATATATATATTTTATATATATATATATTATATATATATTTATATGTTGTGTGTTTGTTATTTGTGTAAATTATAATTTAAGAAAAATTGGGCAAAAGATCCTTATTTAAAATATATTAAATTTCAAACTAAATAAATAAACATTAATTGCATCTAGCCATTGGCTTGTTGTAATAAACTATTTCGGTCTATCGCTTGGTATGACGTCATAGAACTGCATCTTTGAATTTACGAATTCCTAAATTCCACGACAGTTATCAAATCGCAAAAATAATTTTCTAATTCAAAATAACAAAATATCATCTTTGAACAAATGTCTTTTATTTCTTCTCAAACCAAAAACAAAACTGGCTCATATGTGCCATAAACAATTTTTTTACAAATATAATAAAAAAATATCCAAATGTTGAAAAAAAAAAAATTTTTTTTTAAAATAAATTAAAGCAAAAATTCGAAAATTAGAATGAAACATGATCAGACAATAATAGACATTCATTGTATAAATCCATTTAATAATAATAATAATATTATATATATATATATATAAAATATATATATATATATATATATATATATATAATACGTATTATTATTAAATATTTTAATCTTAATACATTAAAATTATAACATTAATTAATTTTGTTGGTTTATAAAAATTATTAATAAAAAATTTATAAATTTTCATTCAAAAAATTTTTATTTTCCCTATACTAAAATAAAAATATAAAATACTTATTAAAAAAATCTTTTTTAAAAAAAATTACAAAATTTACCTCCCTTGCATAGAAATAAAAAGAATACTTTTAATTTATGATGTGAACGCATAACACATCCATAAATATGCAACCCCTGCAGATGGTGTCAGATGAGATTGAAAGTACTTGGGGAAAATAAAATTATTTGAAAGAAAATTTGGAACATTTTCTTGATCAATTTTCTTTTCCACCAAGAAATTAATTCTTGGACTTAAAGGATTATAACTAGGAAAGTAAATAGACATAATAAATTTAAATGATTTAACCAAACATGCTTGAATGAAAAATACTGACTATAAAATATATATATATATATATATATATATAAATTTAAATAATTTGGCATAATAGAGATAAAATAAAAAAAGAACATTATTGGAAAGACAGACAGTACAATGATTGATGTATACATGGTCCCAATAAATAGCGTAAGGAAATAAAAATAAGGTCATATATATATATATATATATATATAGAGAGAGAGAGAGAGTATGAGATGAGAACGAATAGTTTGTAACATTTAATCAGGAATTTTTTATCAATGAAAGTGGACACAATATTATATCTTATAACCAGGTCACCGTTTTTTCAAAAAAGAGGTAATATTTTGTTTTTAAATCTAAATAAATCGTTCACCCCCAAAAAAATAATCGCCTGGTAAAATGCAAAAAATTTTTTCGAAACACGACTGCAATTTTGTAGTAATTTTAACATGTATTTTTCGTAATATCCTAATATATATATATATATATATATATATATATATATATATATATACGCACACATACATTTATTAATTCAAACGTTATTAAAATGGTGTTTCATTAAGACGGATTATATATAAGGGTGTTTCATTGAATGATCCAAGTCAGTAGTAAATAAATCAGTGTTATTGGTGAAAATTTATTTATTTCTCTATTGGATAATGGTATTTAAGTCATGGCAATTATGTGTGAAAAATAAAATCGCCCAACTGTCTGCAAACAATCAAAGGCTTAACCTCCACACGATGGTCAAAATTTAAAGATGTCATAAAGATGTATGACATCTAATGGTGTCATAAAGATGGGCATCATATTAAAGGGTGTTTCATTAAGATGGATTATATATAATGGGTGTTTCATTAAGACGGATTATAAAAGTCAAAGTAAATAAATCATAGTATTATTGGTGACAATTTATTTATTTTTATTTCTGGATCATGTTATTTAAGTCATGGCAATTACGTGTGAAAAATAATATCAATGTCCGTCAAATCTGAAAGAAAAAGAGAAAAATCATTAGACGCTTAAATTTAATTCACATTTAAATCGGTCTAAGTTATTGAAACATCTTTTAGTAGATACTCGTATTTGAAGTAGACATCCCATTATTATTTTAAAAGGTGTGTATTAGGTATTTTTAAAAAGTGTGTATTAGTTTGGAAGGGATCGAACCTGCGTACAGCTTTATAAGTGAAATCACCGGTTGATCCGGCGTGCTTAGCTACTCGGCTACGAAGAGCGTCACAATCAAGACCGTCTCTATTTTCCCTTTAAAGGAAAGCACAACTCTTCCCTAACATTTTTCTCGAGAGCCCACATCAGTTCAGTTTCGTATCCGAAACGTAAACAAACCAATTTCTAAAGAATTAATGGATTTATTTTTAACCCGATATTTTTTCAAACGTTTTTATAGTGAATAATCACAATTGAAATAGACGGATCCTTTTTATTTTTACTTTCAAAGTAAAAATGCAAAACTGGGGCGTCTAGTGAGTTCGTGAGTGTTCTCGCCGAGGTCAGGAAGACGCGGAGAAGTTGCGAATTATTGAAACCTAAATAAAAGGAATTGTAATGAATGGATTTAAAACTAAGACTGCTGAGAGAATCACTGGCGTAGAAGAATGCTTATAAAATGTTTGTAAACCTCTTAAAGTAATAAAAATTTGGACGAAGGATCGTCAAAATAGCGTCTCGACTATATAGTAAACACTTCATTTTTAAAGGTATAGAAAAACATGATCGACTGATTTACCTGAATAGTTTGAGATAGAGATTTTAGAGAGATAGGAAGAGAGAGAGAGGGAAAAAAAAAGAAATGGTGCAGAGAAGAGCGATAGACAGAAATTAACAAGCCTCCTCATAGATAGATAGATAGATAGATAGATAATTATCCATTTATGATAGATGAGATTTGAAGAGACTGAGATAGATATGAATTAATTAAATGATGATAGATAGATAGAAGAATGAACTCTGAGATAGATATATATATATATATATATATATATATATGATAGACAAATATATATATATATATATATATATAAATAGATAGATTATAGATAACAGATAATTATACAGTTTACGATGCTGACGATTTGAAGAGAATGAGATTTTATATGAACAGATTATCGATAGATGAGATAGATAGAATATATATATATATATATATATATAGATAATAGATAGACAGATATATATATATATATATATATATATATATATAGATAGATAGATAGATAAATAGATATATATTAAAATAGATATACATAAATAGATTTGAATTAGAAATCTAGATAGATTTTGAACAAAAACGATAGATAGATTCGATGAAATTTAGATGATAGATAGATTCTCTCAGATAGATAGATTTTGATTTTCTAGACATAGATAGACATGTGATAGATAATAATGAAAGACTGAGATAGATAATAGATAAATTTCTGATAGATGATTTATAATAGATAGATAATTTCCAAAAATATTTTGTTTCATATTATTAATCCTTAATGTTTTTTTAAAATCGAGCGGAGATTTTAAAGTTATAAATAGATAGATGGATAGAATGATAGATAGATTATAGAATAGATAGATTTAAATGAATTTTTCATATTGCATTAGATAAATTGATAAAAAGTTTAATGGATATACTGCATTTATAAATCCCCATGTTTGTTCCAGCGCGGAATGAAATTTTAAGAAATAACAGTTTTATCTGTTTCCAACCATTTGACTTTATTTCTGTATTTTTTGATGAGATTTTAAACGCATATTAATACTTTTCCTCCACTGACTCATGAAATAGATCTCAGAGTTCTCCTGAATCCAATAAATCGAACGATATTTTTGCAATAGTCGATCATTGAGTGGCGACATTGGTGCATTACCCTATTTCCGCCCGAGAGTGGAATTAAAATACAATTGTTTGTCCGATAAACGCGTTTTTCTTTTTTCTTTCCTTTTTTTTTTTTGCAAAATCGTATAAGTTTTTCGTTTGAGAACTGAACAATTCAGTCGCCATCTTGTTTGAAGCAAAGACGCAGACATTATTGAAAAAAAAAAATTTAAGAGATGACCAGATTGAATTGTCATATGGTTTAAAAATGGACAAATTGTTTAAAAATATAACGTCGGTCTAGGGGAAATGTTACATAATCTTTTTGGAAAATTGTTGAACGTAACCATACGTAAGTGTCTAATGGAAAATTTCCCCGTGTTTGCCTCGCGCCACTACGACCATCATGAACTCATTCTCTGCTCTCACTTTCTCCCGTCGACTGTTATTCCAATAAGCATTTACAATTGCTAATAGACTGATAAATGATAAACTGATAAAAATTATGTTCATATATGTGCAAATATAATATAACTAATTAAAATGATATATATGGACGACTAATATTAGAACCCGATTATTATTATTATTATTATTTTATTATTATTATTATTATTATTATTTCCATTGATTTCTTTTGTATACATATTTCCCTAAGCACCCAAAAGATGACCTAAGCTATATAAAAAGATCTTCATTATAAAACAAATTTAATCATTTGACTATAACCCCCTAAATTTAAGATCAATTTAAATAAAAAAAGCTTTTCATTTTGTTCCAAAAAATTTTAATAGTACATTTTTTGTATTTCTTTAAGGATATGGGCTTCCAGGAATCCCTTCAATGAGATAAAGCAAATTGGAATCTTTTCTAATCAATTAAAGGGCTCCATCTACAACTGAATTGAAATTTCCCTTACAGTGAATTATATTTTTCGATTTCATAGGTCCTTTATTTTTATTAAATTTTGAAGATATTCAAATTGACAATTTTAATTTTTATCTGCTGGAACAGAAAAATATATAATATATATATATTTTTTTTTTGCGGTCTATAGGAACGATGTCAGCGCCAAGATAATTTAATAAAGGAAAATGTTGCATTTGCAAAATCAAAATAAAATATTTCTTGACATATCTCCAAGTGATAATTGGGTAACATATCCAATTTCTATATTGTTTTCCTTTCTGTAAGATTTGCAGATAACCAATGCTTCACAATTATGGCACACACAATCATACCGGCTTTTATATTCATTCAATATATACCGTTTTTTCTGATGATATTATTATTATTATTATTATTATTATTATATTTTGATTTTTATATGGTCACACGACCTACCAAGAAAAATATGAAAGACCTAAAACATGGTAAAAAAGCATTAAAACATTTCATCATTTGTTTTTAAAATCCATAACAAAACATTTCACGCGTTAATATGGATATAAAGTTATTTTTATATATATATATATATAAAGGAAAAAAATTTTTTTATTTTCTTAAAAATTAATGGGATTTCAGGGATTTTTTCAAAACTCTTGTTGTGTTCCTTTTTTAATTCCAAGGGCAAACCTAAAATGAAAAATAAAATTATAAAGATTATTATCATTATTGTTATTATTATTATTAATAATGTTATTTTCTTGTGATTTGTTAATACATCCTTTCTAAGCTACATAGAAACATTTACGATGCCTTTGAAAAAAATTATTTTACCACTATGATCAAAAGTCTTATTTTTACCCTTACCTCCCGATCCAAGGTTGGGTCAAGCATACATAAAACTATATATATATATATATATATATATATATATATATATATATATATAAATGTCCGTAAACCACTCTGAAAATGATTATGTGTTTTAAAATTTTCTATTGCATGGAACGGCTTAATATGAATTTTTTAAAATTTAATTTTGCCTTTATTTGGTTTTTAACCCAAAATTAAAGCAAATATATTTTATTTTGGAATGTTTTCATGATCCAAATTTGTTAGACATTAATTTTAATCATTTTATATTTAATAATATATATATATATATATATATATATATATATATATATTTCCCAAATATTAAAATGGATATAGATCCGACAGAATGAAAAAAATTTTGAACTTACAAACAAAAAAATGAAATACATAGATAAGATGTTTTAATTAAAAATGTTCACTGACGTTTCAACAAAAATAAACCTTTTTATTATTATTTTATATAATAATTAAATTCAGTTCTCTTTTTAAAAATTAATGGACAAAACAACAAGAAAATGTTTACGACAACGTGACCATGCTAAATGGAAAGCTTTTTCATTTTAAAAATTTTCAGTTATCTGTTTTGGATAAGACTTGTTGTTTATGTCCATCGTCTTTGTCAAATTGAACTGAATTGCCAATTAATGAATATTGTCTTGAAAAAGGTTTATTAAACTAAAATATGTCAGACGTCGACATTTCATTTATTTTAAGAGAAAATATAATTGCATTTAAACCTTTGTTTTTTCCAAATTTTTCTCGCATATATATCCTATATATATATATATAATATATATATATATATGTATCCCAGACATTTGTGTGTGTGTGCATAATGTGTGTGTTTACTACCTATATATAAAAAACAACAAATTTCATATAAATTCGAAATTATTGTGGTGTGTCCTAATTAAACTTTTAGTTCAGAAAGAAACCTTTGTCCAGAACCAAATTAATTCCTGTGAAAATAAAAGTTTTCTTATAAAAAACATTTTCCAATTTTTGAAAAAGACTAATACAATGACTTCGGATGCGCATTGTAGATGAAAAATAAGACGACCCTCCAAAATCTCACTTTTGAAATCAAAGTACTAACTTCTTCTAAAGACTATAAAATATCAAACTCTTTAAGGCTAAATAGATTCCATATTTGTGTAATGATAACAGGATAGCTGGAGGTTGAAGAAAAGGAAAAATAACAATATATTTAATGGAAAAAATAAAATTAAACACGAATTCTAAAAAATTCCTCCCCAAAATTTATCTTTCTTTCAATCTAATTATCTATTATCAACTATTAATATATATATATATATATATATATATATATATATATATATTTTAATTTCCTCTATATCAAAATGTATCAACCAACAAAATTTATATTATGTAGAACAAACAATATATTTTAAAACAATTTTAATGCCCTTTGTAATTTCTACCATATCAATTCTGGCCGGCTCTATTTTTTGGGACGTTTGTTTTATAAAAAGGTCCGTAGATATAATATTTATAAATTAAACAATTTTAAATAAATATATAACAGAACGTGTTATTTAAATCGTGTTTTTAAAAATCTTCACAGAAATTATCATAGTTACAATTTAGTTTGTCTGAAGATGATCTTAAATTATAAAAAAATGTACTTGATAAATGGAAAATAAAAATGATGAATTTCATCTTAACATCAACACTGATTATTATAAAAAAAAATCCATATATGTCTATATTAATTTATTATCAAATTTGCTCTTCAAGTAAAAATTGAATTGAGTTCTAAAAAAATGGCAATTTCAGTAATGGATTTTCAAGTAAAATTCTTTATATGAGTTCTACCCTTGGTGATGTATCTTTTTATTGAGAAAGCCGTTTCGAATATGAAATAAAAAGAGATCTGATTTTAAATCATTTCTAGTTTATTTAATTCCTATTGAATATAATCGGATGTCTCGAAATATGGGGCTGTGGATGACTAAATATGCATACATTGTATTTATATATAGGGAAAAAGGTATTTAAAAAATAAAAGCTCCAACGATTTCTATTAAGAATTAAATTTCAAGGTTAAAATTAATTGAGTTCTAAGAACTGGCGTGTTATATATATATATTGTTAACTGCCGTAGCGACGATTGGCTTGTGTCAAATCAGTTTTGGTTTCGATCCAGTATTGAAAGCAATATATATATATATATATATATATATAAATATATATATGTGGATGATATATATATATATAGGTCAATATTTATATTCACCTATATATATAAAGTATTGCAGAACCAGAGAAAAATAAATTATATATAATAAATATATATAAATATATATATAAATGTGTTTTGTTTGTGTGTGTGATATTTGCTTTAGCATTTCATCCTTCTTATATTATTTTACAGATTATTGTTGAAACTTGACTAATGCATGGAATAATAATGCAACACAAAATGTACTTAGAACAAAATGTATTGAAACCAGAAAGTGTACACAATATTTACATATAGTCTTTTGTATATTCCTGGTAAGACCGTTCCTGGAGAATGTGTTGACTGAGTCGCAGTCGGGCAGAGTCTCTGGTTGAATCTCTTGATTCCTCCCTCTCTTCCCGGTACCAACCATATTTATATGGTCGGTACTCCACTATGCAAATTAGGTGGATCCTACCACAACACACATATATATATATATGTTTCATTAAAGATGACAGACAAGGTAGTTATTAGGATGTATAATTTTCCGAACACACTATATTGTGCCTATGTTCGTAATTAATATTATTGAGGGTTGGCTTTTTCTTTTTTATTATTAAGTCTACCATTACTTTTTATCTTTTTTTTTTACATGTGGATGAGGTTATGCTTGGATTTTCTAGTAGTATGTTTTAGATGGGGGTCTGGTAATTT